CTGTCGCCGTATTTCTCAATATATTGTGCCAGCTCCGTATCTGTCATTACAAGTATGACGCCACCGTCAATCTAAAAATGAAAACACACACAAATGACAAAATGCTCTACGTTAGCTAGGCTAACTCTTAATTAAAGATGCAAGATTTAAAGCAAAGTCCGTAATTTGCATATTGCGCCTCAATTTTACTAAAGGTAAAGGATTATTAACCCTTTTTAAAAATGAATGAACTAACCTTGTCTTCCTTCAGTTTTTGGACGACATCATTGGGTATATTTCGCGTTTTTAAAAAGTTGAAGAGCTCTTCTTCTGCAGCCATCTTTGACGTGAACTAACTGGTGTACAAGTGGTGAGCACGACTTGCTAACTGGTGCGCACGACTTGCTAACTGGTGGGCACGACTTACTAACTGGTGGGCACGACTTGCTAACTGGTGCGCACGACTTACTAAGTGGTGGGCACGACTTACTAAGTGGTGGGCACGACTTATTAACTGGTGGGCACGACTTATTAACTGGTGGCCACGACTTATTAACTGGTGGGCACGACTTACTAAGTGGTGTGCACGAGATAGTTTTTTTTTTTTCATCCAATGTGTCCCTTTAGGGGCTCAGTATAATCCTGTTCAGTTCAGTTTGAACTAGTTCCTGATATTCCTACCGCTCCGGCAGCGAATTACCCCACGCAGGAGAGTCCCTCCCTGATACGATGGAGAAGATGAATTGAAGGTCTAGGTCTGGCTCGCCATCTTGAATCCCGTCTGTAAATGTGCACGTCGCACGTGGCAGACCAATCCTCACTCTGTCTGAGCTTCCAACCGAACAAAAAAACCTGACCTGTGTAACAGGCCACAAACACGACAGAACTCTTTTCAAATCCTTAAATTATACAAATAAATTCTTCTTCATAAACCCAATATATTAACCGGATAACAGTTTATGACGGAGCATTTCTTTGCAACAGCTACGATTTTAGCGTTAGCTCTCCGTCAAAAGGAAAAGTACAACACGGTGAAAATGTAAAAAAAGTAAACACAAAACTCACCAAAACCGATGTAACTTGGTTCTCATAAAATCCCCGTCAGTTTCCGACCAGGTAAATTATGCTTTCTCAACTATATTATTTACTTTTCTGTTAATTAATCACCGCTCTTTTCCTCCGATTCCTCCTCTGCTCTCTCCCTCAGGTTTGTGCGCTGCAGCGCCACCCAGGCTGTGACGCTGGTTTCTTAAAGGGGCAGCGATATTATTTTCTGTTCACAGACTTTAATCAGCTATTTATTCCTATTTATGTCAGATTTTAACATGGGCAACTATTTATTCCTATTTATGTCAGATTTTAACATGGGCAACTATTTATTCCTATTTATGTCAGATTTTAACGTGGGTTACACAGGACGCATTTTGAGCAGCCAAAGCAGCCAGTTTACATGCAAAGTCTGTGGTGGACACGCATCTAGGAGCAGCGCGGCGCGTTTTGCCAGTTTAGAGCAGCGCGCAAGTTAGCGGTAGGATGCGGCGAACGTTTTCCGTGTATGCGGCACGTCCAAAGCAGCCGCTGCTCGAGTTCAAAAAATTGAACTTTCGCTGCTTGACGCACAGCAGCAACCAATCAGAGAGAATAATTTTTCCACGTGATGGTTTCCTGAACCCGACACAGACGGACAGGAGCTCTTTAGCTGAAATTGACCGTCTGCAGTTGGTGTTCTGACTGGAGATATCAGCACCAATGTGGGTCAGTAGCTTGTTAAACTGACAACTTAAATTGGGCTCAGGACAAAAAAAATCTGTCAGCTCGCAGCTCCTGGAGTGGTGGAACTAACCAAACAGACCGCTTCTAAATTATCTGGTGAATTAATTATCCGCTGTGCGCAATATTTGCTTGCTCTTTAGTAAATAAAGCAAAGCCATTTTGTTTATTTTATCTTTATTTCACCTGTCACGCTCCTCCCTCTTCAGACACGCATCTAGTCTGCTGCTGCGTTCCCCCGAACGTGTTTCAGTGCGTCCAACTTGAGGGATTGGGTGCATTTTTGGTGCTCAAAATGCGTTTGGTGGGAACCCGGCTTGAGTCCCTCCCGGATGACTGAGCTTCTCACCCTATCTCTAAGGGAGATCCCAGACATCCTGCGGAGGAAATTCATTTCGGCTGCTTGTACCCGCAATTTCATTCTTTCGGTCACTACCCAAAGTTCGTGACCATAGATGAGGGTAGGAACGTAGACCGAGAGGTGAATCGAGAGCTTTGCCTTCTGGCTCAGCTCTCACTTCACCACGACGGATCGGTACAGCGCTTGCATCACTGCAGACGCAGCACCAATCTGCCTGTCGATCTCCCACTCCATTCTTCCCTCATTTGTGAAAAAGACCCTGAGATACTTATACTCCTCCACTTGGGGCAGGACCTCCTCCCTGACCCAGAGAAGGCACCCTACCCTTTTCCGGCTCAAGACCATGCTCTCAGATTTGGAGGCACTGATCCTCATCCCGACCACTTCACACTCGGCTGCGAATCGCTCCAGTGAGAGCTGGAGATCATGATCTGATGAAGCAAATAGGACTAAATCAACCGCAAAAAGCAGAGATGCGATCCTAAGGTCACCAAAAACGGATCTCCTCAACACCCTGACTGCACTTAAAAATTCTGTCCATAAAAGTTATGAACAGAATCTGTGACAAAGGGCAATCTTGGCGGAGTCCAACTCTCACCAGAAATAAGTCCGACTTTCTGGTGAGACCTCACAATGTGCTGTAAGAAAAATATGCGTTGTTCAAAATGGTGTGTCCGAATAAACAGGAATCAGCTGGATTTCTTCTTAAAACTTTATTTTCAATCTTCTGACTCCAATCAGTTTCACAGTACAGCACTCAGCACACAGGCCCCAGTAAGACCTTGGGTTGAACCAAAATACAGCTGCCCTGCTCTGAGCAGACTCTGCAACACACTGACAACTTCTTTCTACTATAACTGGGTTAGCGAACCAGCGGCTCTTTGATGGTGCCTGTGCGGCTCTTGGTTGTTGTTTTTTTAATTGAAATTGGCGTTAAAAATGATTCTGTGACAATAATGGAATTTCCCACGCTCCTTGAACGTAGCACTGGCAAAAAAAGCGTAACGTGTGTAATACGCAGATGAAATTCATTTGGGTATGATGGTAGGATGGTATTCATTGGGCTCTCCCTTAGAGATAGGGTGAGAAGCTCAGTCATCCGGGAGGGACTCAGAGTAGAGCCCCTGCTCCTCCACGTCGAGAGGAGCCAGTTGAGGTGGCTCGGGCATCTGGTAAGGATGCC